TCCCCGGCACAAACAGAGTAATATTGTGTATGCTGTTCAGTGTCAGGAGGGTGATCAGTCTTACATCGGGGAAACTAAACAGCCACTGGCCAAAAGGATGGCCCAGCACAGAAGATCAACATCATCAGGCCAGGACTCTGCGGTCTACACTCATCTCCAGGCCAGCGGTCACTCTTTCAGGGATGAAGATGTTCACATCCTGGACAGAGAGGAACGATGGTTTGAGAGAGGAGTAAAGGAGGCCATCTTTGTGAAAAGAAATCGTCCATCATTAAACAGGGGTGGAGGCCTCCGGGTTCAACTGTCCCCCTCTTACAATGCTGTGATTGCTAGTATCACTCAGCCCTCTGTGAACAGTAAACAGCCATCAGTGTGCTAATGATCCATTGTTAGGCTGATGGTCCTTCTTGAGCATGTGATCAGCTGGTTTTGGTTGTCAGCAGCAAACTGGTTGATCCACTCTGAGAAGGTGCTATTTAAGAGACTGAGCTGAATACAGCACCTCAGACTGAGGAAGTCTCTCGGATGAGAGACGAAACGTTTCTACATTTTTTTGTTGTTTTGTTTTGCTTTGTTTTGTTTTTTTTAATATCCAGAGGACCAGATTTAACTTTTTTAGATTTTTCTACCTGGATTATTGAGCATGCATCAGGATACACCTGCACATATTACATTCATTCAGCATTTATTTATACAGGTTTGTTTCATTGAGTCACAAGGACTCGTTTTCAAGCGAGACCTGTTTTAAACAAACAACACGTGATGTGAAACACCAGCAAGCCAGGCCAAATTACAGTTCGTCCTACACACAGCTCTGTTGGAGGTTTCCTCCTGTTAAGAGAGTTGTTTCTTTCTACTGTTGCCATGCGCTGCTCGGGATGCAGGAAGTGAAGACACAATCTGCTGCCTTCGTTGGATTGATAACTTTTATTAAGTGACATTTAATCATGTCATACATTACATAATACATTTCATGTGCTGAAGATACAATGATCTTTATGATCACGTTGCCATATACCTTAATCTGAATCTGACCCTGCCACATTTTTGATCTACACACTCAGTAACAGTGCATATTTGTGTGGGGGTGAACAGGTGCGGCAGTGGCTCCGGGTCGTGTCGGTGATCTGAACACGACTATACCTTCTGGGCTCAACTCCTCTGAGGCGAAGATGACACGAGACTCCGCCCCTCCGCTCAGGACTCCGCCCCCGGCTCCTCTGGGTAGACAGGAGACTCCGCCCCTCAGCTCCTCAGTGGAGCCGCCTTCAGGATGATGGGAGACAGAAAGAGGGAAGTACTGTGACTCACGGCACCGGAACCAACACTATCGTAATTTATCGGACATATACTCTCTGCTAATGAATAAAAACCCCGCTACTTCGTCTGGGAGGTGAGTAAAACCAGGCTGTTAGTTCATTTGAAGCATGTAAAGTGCGACAGACCCATAACTCGCGGTGTTTTGGGTGAACGCTTTGTGAAGTTTTTGGTTTAATGACAGCAGGTGTTAGTAACGGCGCTCAGCACGCGCAGGTTTGCGTCGCTTTTGAAGTCCAGAGACAGTGTAGTTAGCTTCCAGCTGCTGGTTGTCACCTCCTGCAGTCAAACTCCGAGTCGACGGCGTGCCTGGACAAGCCCTTTGTGCGTCTCCCCGCCCGGACAGACATGGAGTCGAACAGTTACTGTCTCCAGTTTCCCTCTCTGCTTCCTCTCAAGTTATTCTCGGGCGCCAGGTGGCGTCAGGTGGAGCTGCACCTCCACGTCCGGCTGTGTCCCTGGAGGAGGTGGTGCTCGCACGCAGCGAGGAGGACAAATGGTTCACGCTGGAGGTTGAAGCATGGCGACAGTCACTGTCAGACACCGAGCCTGACAGGTGAACAGAAAGTGAAGCAGAAATCAGATCTGCTCTGTGTCACTGTTCTTCTGGACCTCTCTGAACCATTGTCTAACATTTCACACATTTGGCCTTTTAAAGATAACACCTCAGATATAGTAATACTGTAGTAATAATACTGGCATCAGCCCACATAGTAAACAGCAGAAAGTATTCCTTTGTAGAAAACACTTCAACAGCTTCCCCTCCTTTAGTTTGTCCTCAGATCTTAGTTGTGCACACCTCACAGACAGAGTCTAATGTTTTGATGGTGCAGTAAAAACTTTTCGTGAGCCACACTGTGGAAGGCAGCAGCTCTGCTTGCCTGTGATGCATTTAATGACCAGGTACGTCTTAGATTTTTGGGGTGGATGAGCTCATCACCTGTCATGGCTGGTCAGACTAGGCAGAATATCGTCCGGTGCCGGTCACGAGCCGATGGTAGGGTTTGTCTTAGAGACACATCAGAGTATTGGATACATATGTTGCCTTTTTCATGATTAATGTGATAATGATTTAGAATGATATACAATTCATAAAATTAATACAATTCTTTTTCATATCGCATGTTTACCATCTTCATGCACGTCATGTGAAATTGGGACTTTGGCAACTGTTTGAGAGCTGAGGTGATAATTTTGCGTCGGTGTAACGACTGTAGATCTTTGCAGATTCACGTCCTACGTCTTGCAGCTAACCGAGGCACGAGAGTCTAAAATAAGAAGAGCTGCAGTAATTAAAGCCACTTCTGTTTATTTCTTTGCTGCTGGTCGGCCCAGATGTTTTGTCTCTGCTGTGGCAATTACAGGAAGTGACTGTAAGTAAAGTACTAGTTGGTGGAACGCAACACTAACCCTGGGCAGCACTTATGTAACTAACGTGCATAAACAAAGCTACATATTTGTTCAAGCTGCAAGCAGAGTTTTGAAATGATGACGCATACCTGGTTCTTAGAAAACTTTTTTAACATTAGATGTTCATAAAGGTTTGTAATGAAATGGTTTGTCTTGATTTAACAGGACAGCTGAAAGTTGCTAACTCCCACTGACGAGGAACAATGAATGCTTTTTTCACTGGTGAGAATGTGACACGTTTATTTAGTTGTGGAACAGAAGTGGTAACTTGACATGCAAGTGGCTATATGTTTAGTTTTCAAATGTAGACGGATGGATTTAGAGCTTTCCACTTGTAACGTGATCGCCCAGGACCTCTGCTCTGAATGTCAAATATGTAATCATGCAACTTTGATAGTTTTGTGGCCGACGCATTTGTTGTATCAATTGTGTTTAAATTCATAACATTTTACACTGAAGCCTTTAAGGTCGTTCATTTTCTAGTTAGGTCAAACATTTATCTAAACTTTGTATTATTGAAAACACAGCTTGCTGAATTGTTGATGAGCTGTTTGTAAAGTTCATTTCTAAAGACACCGAGTTGTTTGATTTTCAATGATACAGTTTTTAAAATAGTTTTCCAGACTTGTAAAAGAACTCTTTCTCAAAAGCAACTCAGGTGTGAACAAACTCGACGTTAGCTAATCCTAAATGTCTACACTGTTGCATGACACGGTTTAGTTTGTTGCTGTTTTCTCAACAGAACGTATCGATTGCTGCGTGAATGTACGTGTGTGCTGGGCATAGATGGACTGAGTTTATGCCCATGGTGCCGAGGCTGCTTAATGTATCTGTCCACCAGCAGTGGAGTATTCACTGGTGTCCAGTCCTGGTCCTCGAGGGCCACTACCCTGCATGTTTTTGTTTGACTAACCCCTTCAGCATTGTCTTCAAGTTCTGAAGAAGCCTGTAAATTACCTATTTATTCAAATCAGGCGTGTTGAATAGACTAGTCGAGTACTCGATTCTAGGGCATCCTGCGAGTTTTTGTATTTCACGTTGACTAGTCGCAGTCGCCACTGCCCGCCCCGCTGTTCCCAGCCCTATTCCACCCGATCCACGTGGTGGATTAAATTAAATAAAACTAAAAACAGCGGGGCGGTAGAGCTGTCATTTCTAACACGGCTGCTCGCGGCCCGAGCCAAAATAATGTGCTGGATGGCCGGGCGGGTTGGTGTCGGGCTTTTGATTGTGTCAATGGATGCGCACGGCTGACAATCCAACTTGGATCACCACCAGCTGCACTGACCGGCCGGTTAAAAGACGTACAAAAAGTCCAAATGGATGACTGCCAGACCCACCTGAAGCTTTCCAGCTGTTGTGTCAGCGGACACGCGTGGCCGGGACCATTATTAACTAGCCTGTAATAGCTGTAATATAATGTGCTCTACCACCGCCCGCCCCACTGTTCTTAGCCTTGTTTTTTCATGCCACACTTTTCTTTCACTTTTGCAGCTTAATAATATACTGCCTGGATAAAAAAGAAAGGTCACTAATATTTCGTTGGCCCGCCTTTATTTTTGATGACATCATGCATTCACTGTGTCATTGTTTCAATAAGCTTCTTCAATGTCACAAGATCCATTTCCTTCCAGTGTTGCATTAATTTTTCACCAAGATCTTTCATTGATGACTCGACACTAGTCATGATGGGTGCATCCCTTCACCTGCCTCTCTTCTTATCCTGATGCACTCATCACTCTGGAACAGGGTCAATCTGGACCCATCAGATCACATGACCTTCTTCCATTGCTCCAGAGTCCAATCTTTATGCTCCCTAGCAAATTTAAGCCTTTTTTCCCAGTTAGCCTTACTGGTTAGTGGTTTTCTTAAGGCTACACAGCTGTTCAGTCCCAATCCCTTGAGTTCCTTCACATTGTGCATGTGGAAATGCTCTTACTTTCAATATTAAACACAGCCCTGAGTGCTGCTGTTGTTTTTCTCCCATTTGATTTCATCAAACGTTTTAAGTGATCGCCGATCACGATCATTCAGGATTTTTTTCCGGCCACATTTCTTCCTCGAAGACGATGGGTCCCCACTATCCTTCCAGTTTTTAATAATGAGTTGGACAGTTCTTAACACAATTTTAGTAGTTTCTACAATCTCCTTATATGTTCTCTCTGCTTGATACCAATGATTTGACCCTTCTCAAACAGACTGACATCTTTTCCACGACCACAACATGGTTGTTTAAGAAATGAGAAGCAACTCATTGCACCAGTTGGGGTTAAATAACTTGTTGCAGCTGAAAGATAATCGTCCAGGCAGTAATTATCCAACAGGAGGCTCGTACATATTTGCAGAGTTAAATCCAGGTGGCAACTTTGTTTGGGTCAGGCAGTGTATTTTTAGCTTTCCTGTGACTTATTTGCAGTATGATAAATGGTAGGACTATAAATATACTCCCAATGTTTTGTTGTTCTTTTTTTGTTGTTGTTGTTAATAATAAATTATGTTTATTTGCATATTTTTATTTTTTTTGCGAATGTGATATAGCGTCTTGTTCCTGTGAAGTCATCGGGTAGTCAGTGTCGACTCGACTTTTATCATGATTCATGTTAAAGTTGACTTTTTAAAATATGTAGTCGTTTAACTCGTAGTTGAAGCAGGGAAACGTTTAAAGCAGTGAGGACAGTGGCCCTTAAGGTCCAGGATCAGACACCCTTGCAGTGGAGTCAGCGATTAGGCAGACTGATACACTCAGCAGCCTCAGCACGATCAGCAGTTCTGCCCACTTACATACTCTTAGTAACACAGACATTGTTTGGTTGAGAAAACAGTGACAAACTACAGTGTCATGCAAAAGTGTAGAGGTTTAATATTAGCTAACGTAGCGTTCTTTCACACCAGCATGAAGAAAGAACAAGTTGTTTTTATAAGTCTGAAAAAGCAAACCTAACCTTGACCATGACTTTTGCCTTTTTCCTCCACTTCCTGTTCTCTATGACTGATGTCACAGCTGAGAAGTTACTAACTAATGGTTACTATTCGTAGAACATCACAAGGTGAGTAGCAGTTTAATGTCAAGACTTTTTCCCTGTAGATATTACAATTAATTTATCTCAGGACAAGAACTAACAGTGCATTCTGTAAATGTGTTTAATATTTAGGTGCTTTTAAGTTAGATGTTTGGAAACTCCTAAAGGGGTTCAGTTGCATTATGGGAATTCCAGTCTTGCCACACCACTTCCTGTCATCATCTTATCTAGTTTTAGATGCTATAAACTGTCCAGGACTCTGTGTGTGTGTTTATAATGGCAGCCTGTTTCAGTAAGGAGCGTATTCTGTTTCTGGCTCGCCTGTTTTTCTGTCGTGCATGTGTTTTTCTGTCCTGGACACATCATCTCGACATATCAGAAAACGCTGAAAATGCTTTAAAATTTAGGCTGGTAACCCCTAAAAGTGTCTGTGGACTTTTCTGTGTGACTCTCAAAGGAGCAGAGAACACTGCGTATGAACGACTGTTTGTTTCTTTGTGTCTTTGAACGCAACATTGGTGCTTTTCTTGCCAGTTCATAGAGAACAGAACGTCTTAACTCGTGTTCTGTCTAGCACTTCTGTTATTTCAGACTGTGAGTGAGAATACGATGCTTCAGTTTGAAAATGCAAGCTGGAGTTGTCAAC